AAAATATAAACGAATAAAACTTGATATTGTAGACAATGCCCTAAGAAAGAATAAGTACTTAAACCCCTACAGTTACAAACTTTGAATAGCTATAGAAAAATACATTCACTAACGAAAAAATAATAGGAACTTTTAGCATTGTAAAATAATCCTTTTACCAAAAAGGAAATTTATGTGGTATATTATGCATAAAAGCAGCAAAGATACTTATCTTTATCCTACCTGTTACCTTAGTAGAAGTTTTAGCTTTTGACGGCAGGGACCAATCGTGCTTTTGTAACATAAAGTAATAGGTAGACTTTAATGCGAAATTTTGAAGAACTACTGTATTCTGATATCCACTAAGATCATGTAAATTTACCACATTTCAAGTGTAGGAATTTCAAGTGCAAGATGAGCTACATATCCAAAGCTGTACCTAAAGCATTATTGCCATAATAAAATAACGAAAAGATGGAAAATTATGATATTCTACGTTTCCCAAGTGTCCAATTATAACATGTGTGCGAGGGTCAGATAAAAGGACCGAGACTGAAGAAAGCACACTTGAGACTCATAAGAACCCTTCTTCTTCCTGACTTTGCAATGAAGGCTAAATTCTAAACCCCTAATGTTTTTTTCCTTTAGAGTATACACATAAATAAGCAGAAAAAGTATATATATATATAAGAATAATACCTAGACACAGAGAGAAAAAAACAGAAAATGTTTAAAAAGCATTTATTCCCTTCCGAAACATCCCAAACTGTTCTTTATTTTCTTTACCAGATGCTACGCTTTTTCTTTCTTTTTCTCTTCAAATTTTCCTGTAATTTTTTTCCAAACTATTTTAGTATTAGTTTTAACATGGAGTTGGATAACGTGAGATTATAAAGATATTAAAATAATTATTGTATTTTGGATCAAAAATTACCAAAAATATGCAAAAATTTTATCTTCGTTTTACTTTTAATTGAAGTTTTTAATACGAGAGATTACGTTTATTTTTTAAAAATATATTTCAAAAAATTTTTCATAATATTAGTTTTTTTAAAAAGAATAAAATTCTTTAAAATAATACGAAAAAATACTTTTAAATTAAAGAAAATTTTATGCATAATTAAGGAAAGTAATTCTAAAAAACCAAATTTTCAAAAATTATATATATATATATAAATTTAACAAGC